GAGTCTGCAAAACATTGTGCTGAGGTCATTCTCGGAATTCTTCGCAATGCACGAAGGCAAGGCCGAGAAGACTGTGCTACCTGCTGCGGAGATTGCCGAGCAGGAGAGTGCCACGCGACTAGGAGGTTCTTTGAAGGCCAGCGACAACGATGGTGCCGCTGCTTTGATTGCCCAGCACTTTTTGCGGAGCATGCTTCGAGTTGCACAATCGCGGCAAGACTCGTACGCTCTGACTGCCATTGAGCTGATTGCTAGTATCAACCGTCAAGGATTGGTTCACCCTAAGGAATGTGCTGGCGTCCTTGTCTCGTTGGAGACATCAACTGTTCCAGCGATTGCGAAGGTTGCGTTCGATACTCACAAGATGCTTCACCAGCAGTACGAGTCGATGTTCGAAAGAGAATACATGCGTGCTGTTCAGGAAGCTTTCTACTACCAGCGCGATGTGGTCGGAGACCCCAGTGGTGCATCAAGCCGCCCGTACATTGCCAAACTTGCGCCGCTGTTTGATATTATTAAAATCAGCAACAGTCGCTACCAGAGAAAGTTTCTCTCGAACTTGTGCTCGAAAGTTGATTTTGAACTGAAAAAGCTTGAAGCCACTGGTGACCCACCCGAGCATCTCTTACTATCGCGGTTTGTGGCGCAGAACCTCGCGTTCTTCGATTACAACCAAATTGCTGAACTCGTACCGACAATCGGCTGCATGGAACGCATTGTGTCTGCGACTGGGACAGTTGTCGCCCACTCGATTGAGACCGACATCTTTACTGCTAAGCCGGAGCCCACTACCGTGGAGGGAATGCCTGCTCCTGCACCAGAGGGTTCAGAAACTCTGGCACCCTTGCAGCAGTATAATCCCGCTACCCTGCGGCTTTTGGCCACTGCTGCTGCATCCCTTTCCATGCTCTGGGAAGCACGGACCTATCTCCGCCGCTTATATGGTGTCACAGCGAACGCACGCGTCAAAGAGGCCAAAGCTGCATCGAAGGAGCTCAGCAAGTCAGCCACGAAGGTCCACGGCGTGACTGGTGACAAGTTCTGGGATGCTATCGCTCGAAATATGAACGCCTTGAGCAGCGAACAGAGCATGATCGATAAGTGCCGCGAGTTTGCAACTTTGCTTAACATCGATGACGAATTCAAGGTTGGAGGTGATGAAGATGCCGAGGGGGACAATCTGGACGCGGCCACCGACATGGATGACCCGGCAGCCGGTTGGGGCACAGCTGGTGGACCCCGGCCGGGGAAGCGCAAGAACTCCATGTCCGGACAGAGTCCTGTCAAGCGTCCCCGGGGCCGAAAGCCTGGCTCTGGCAAGAAACTGGCCAGTACGGAGCCAGGAGCAGAAGAGTCGGACTGGAATTGAAAGAGGTGCCGGGACCGTTGATCGGGTTGGCACCATGACCCGTGTATTTTTGGCTGTCTATTATCTACTTATCTACCCAAGAGGATGCATTTATGGGATCGGGACTGGCGTTCGGAATGCCGACGAGGTATTACTTACAACGGTGGGTGGGAGGCGTACTGACATTATTATTATTATATTTTTTCTTTCCTATGTGTGATGAGATGACCATATCTTTAAGACAATACCATATGCCTAGTAACTAGATGAAATTAAATAAACAAACAATGAGAACAAACAAAAATAAGACGGTGTATAACTACCTATTTCTGTATAACATTTCCGATCGAGCAAATGGCGCCAAGCCGGGCCCTGCAGGCCGAGCGGGTCCAAGTGGGCTTGGCCAGATGACGTCGAGGTGCAGTGGTTTCAAAGTGTTGTTCTTCCTCCTTGAATCTTCCCTCTTCTTCTCGCAGTCAGTGTGTCTCTTTCGCTGTTCTTTTCCACGGCCACTTTGGTGTCATCCTTCGTTATTACTTTCCTCCTTTCCTTTTTCCCGTGCCATTGGGTCTCTTCGCGGATCGATTGTCTCCAGCCTGGCCCCTTCGCAGTGACCGCTCATTCCTCCTGTCAGCTTAGACGCCATGAGCGCGGCGCTGCTCCGGAGTCGTCCGGACCCTCATGCCTTGAAAAGGATAGCTCTTCTATCTCGTCGCTATCAATCTTCGAAGTCTCCAGCATCCGCAGGCCTCGCTGCCTCCCGAACCCGGTTACCTCATCGCACCGCGACAGCTCAATGCTTGGCGTCGCGTGCCTTTTTCAACCCCCAATACACCGTCCGGCATAACTCTACAATCCCTGAAGCCAGCGAACCTCCTCGGAGGTCCTCCTTCCGCAATGCCATTTTCAAGTCCTTTGCCTACTGCGGCGGCTTCATTGTTATGAGCGGTGCTGCCGTCGTGGCGTTCTTCATCTACGATGCATCCACCTACCGCGAACACTCGAGTGCGGAAGACATTCCCGTTTCGGAATTGGCGCTAAATCCCCGGCGTGGTGGACCTAAGAACCTCCCCATCGCGGAGGTCTTGCTTGGAGATAGTGATTCGGAGGCTAAGCTGGAGCAGAAGGACAAGCCCCGTCTGGTCATTTTGGGTACGGGTTGGGGTAGCATCGCGCTTCTGAAGCATCTCAACCCCGGCGACTACCATGTCACGGTCGTGTCCCCTACCAACTACTTCCTGTTCACCCCTATGTTGCCCTCTGCGACGGTGGGAACTTTGGGGTTGAGGTCGCTTGTCGAGCCTGTTCGTCGGATCGTGCAGCGGGTGCATGGACATTTCCTCAAGGGTGAGGCGCAGGACGTCGACTTTTCCGAGAAGTTGGTCGAGGTGTCCCAACTCGATGCCAATGGCAAGGAACAGAGATTCTATTTGCCTTATGATAAGCTCGTTATTGGTGTTGGTACGTTCGAAACTTATTTCTTCTTCCGTTGAGTTATATTCCGTGAAACTAATTCTCCGATCCATAGGTTGTGTTACCAACCCTCACGGCGTTAAGGGACTCGACAACTGCCACTTCCTGAAGTCGATCGACGATGCCCGGAAGATTAAGAACAAGGTTTTGGAGAACATGGAACTTGCCTGCCTGCCCACGACTAGTGATGACGAGCGCAAGCGTCTCTTGTCTTTTGTTGTTTGCGGTGGAGGCCCGACGGGTGTTGAGTTCGCCGCGGAGCTGTTCGATCTGCTCAACGAGGACCTTCTTTACTCCTTCCCTAAGATCCTTCGGAACGAGATCTCCGTGCACATTATCCAGAGCCGTAGTCACATTCTGAACACCTACGATGAGGCTCTCTCTCGCTATGCTGAGGTCAGTCCAGTGTCCCCATTTGTCAATCCAGGAGTCATCAGAACTGACCGACCACACAGTCCCGTTTCGCTCGCGACCACGTCGATGTATTGACAAACGCCAGAGTGGCGGAGGTCCGCGACGACCGAGTCCTCTTCACGCAAGAGGAAGATGGCAAGCGCATCCTGAAGGAGATCCCAATGGGCTTCTGCCTGTGGTCTACTGGTGTCGGTACGTATATACATCTCCCAATCATTCGACAGAAATACTCACACTTCAACCAGCCCGTGCCGATCTCTGCAAGCGCCTCTCCGACAAGCTTGAATCCCAGAACAACAAGCACGCCTTGGAAACCGACTCTCACCTTCGTCTCATTGGCGCACCCCTCGGTGACGTCTACGCCATTGGCGACTGCTCCACCGTCCAGAACAACCTCGCTGGCAACATCATGTCCTTCCTCCGCACCATTGCCTGGGAGAAGGGCAAGGATCCCGAGAAGCTGCACCTGACCTTCCGCGAATGGCGTGAAGTAGCAACCCGTATCCGCAAGCGTTTCCCTCAAGCCTCGAACCACCTCCGCCGTCTGGACAAGCTCTTCGAGCAATACGACAAGGACCAGTCCGGCACTCTTGAGTTCGGCGAACTCTCCGAACTCTTACACCAAATCGACACGAAGCTCACTTCCCTGCCTGCTACTGCGCAGCGCGCGAACCAGCAGGGCGAGTACCTGGGCCGCAAGCTGACCAAGATTGCGGCTGCATTGCCGGGTATGCAGGCCAACCAGATCGATTATGGTGATCTGGATGAGGCATGCTACAAGGCCTTCAAGTACAAGCACTTGGGAAGTCTGGCATACATCAGTAACGCTGCTATCTTCGACTTTGGCGGTTTGAACTTTAGCGGTGGTGTCCTGGCGATGTACCTCTGGCGCAGTGTTTACTTTGCTGAGAGTGTCAGCTTTAGAACGAGGTGTATGTTGGCCATGGATTGGGCCAAGCGGTCGTTGTTTGGAAGAGGTAAGTTGTTTATTCCCTCGATTCCATCCTTTCTTTTTGCTTTATAGTATCAAATTGCTAATGGGTTGTTAGATCTCATGAGCTTTTAAATGTGCTTTTTCCTATGTCCATCTTCAGCGGTGATGCGCTTTTGATATCCTGATCGATTGCTGTCACCGGACTGAAGGTCATATATTATCATGGCCTGCAGTCATCACACTACCACTTTTTCTATATCTTCTACTTATGCCCTATGAACAGCTACTGAGTAAATAACAGAATATTTCTTTTACTTTTATAGCATTGAGTGACTGCTCAAGCCTATCTGGATCCAGTGACAAATTCCATGCTCTAACCACTACATTGTAGAACAGTATACAGACCTTGATTCATCCCCGCACTTATCTGCATATGAGATCACCAGAGATTCATTGTTCATGCATTCCTGTGGAGTCTGCTTTTTCCACTAAGCATATTGCTTGTTCTCCCCTCTTATCTCACCCTTTGATAATCTCTTCACCTGCCACGCGGGGAACCAACTCGGCACATCTACACTCCGGATCATCCTCATTGCTATTTTCTTCGGTGTACCTGGAATGGTATATACGAGTCATGATAGCCTACACCGGCTGATCCCAACTTATTCGGGTAACGAGAACTATGATATCCCAATTTTCAGACCAAAAAGATAGCTTCTTGCCCATCTATATAAAGGGAGACAAATTTCCCCTCCCTTCAAGTTGTAACATCCAACTAAGTTCTCTCACCTACATCTACTGAATTACAAGAACCTTAACCAATCCATCATACCTCAACCCCACCATGAAACTCTTCTCCATCCTTCCTACTGCCCTCCTTGTGGCTGCTGTAGCGGCCATCCCGCTGAGCGACAAATCCGATGCGCAGGATAGCGATCAAGCTGCTAAGCTCAGTGTATGTATCAAAGACTTCCAGTCACATACTTCTTATCTCTCTTCTTGGATTCACTTCTCACTAACATGCATATAGTGTCCAGACTTGAGCTCTCAGTTCTGCTGTAGTGAATGTACTGGTGCTGCGGCATCGGGTTTCCTGGGTGCTTATGGCCAGTTTAGACCTGAAATTTGCTGTCAGCAGAATTGTGGATGTACTCTTTCGTGAGAGGGGTTTTTTGCATACTAGTACTACTTAACTAGAAGTCATGCAGCCGGAAACCTTTTCAGCAGCAGAATAGTATGTAGTTCAATCAGTGGAGTATCAATTTATGGAGGTGATGTCATGGGACTAATACCTCAGTATATAGTAACTGTTCAACTGATAGAAAGTAATGTGCCGGGTATTGAGGGCTTCACACCCTCCTCGGTCTTTCTTATTGAGTCTTGTGCGAGGGTGATTGAATAGCAAATTTATATTGCTTATTTCTGGGTATCGTACCCCGCTCTCTGACCTCATTTGGGCCTTGTGCAGATTTTAATCTTGTTATCCTGATTGGTTTTGACCTTGCTATCACTTTAGGACTGGGAAGTGTGTCTAATCACCAAGTAGCTTTTGGATATGAGACCTGATCACAAGATGTAGATGCCTTCGGAAGAGTAGAATACTTTATTTGGACTACTATCTTCCAAGCCAAAGCCTGATACCTCCAACGCAGCAGCAACGCAAACACACCGAGACTTTAGGTTCTGTAGTCTGAATAGATAGTAATCATACCAGTGTATCACTGCATGTTTGAGATGGAGCGGGGTTCATTTAGAATAATGATATCTGCCTGCATATTCCATCGATCATGTGTATGTCTCATCGCCCTACTATTCCCTGTTTTATAATAGTTGCCTTTTTCTGTGTACCCCCAAAGATTCACTACACCTGTCTGTCGTTCTGACAGCCATAGCCAGAGACACACAAGTAGTAATAGTAGCTCAATAGGGCTTCTATCATTTATAAAAGAAGGGTTCATTCTCCCCTTGTTGTACGATTATCTTCCCACATCTCATCCTTCAATCTTAAGGCCTATTCAGCCCCACCATGCAAGCTCACTCACCCAATGTACCTTTGCATGTGGCAAAGCCGGAATTCAAATCAATCAAATTACTTTTCTTTGTATTATATTAATATAACAAGTGCACTTACAAGATTTCTTATACTTTTTCTATGTTCAGAGTCAGTTTGCTTTAAAAAGAAGTAGTAAAGTATTTATATTATTATAAATAAAGAGTTCACAATGCAAAAATACTAATCAGAGATAGTAATAAGAAGTAGCTGTATAAAGATATAAATTAAATTATAATATATATTGTCTTAGCCTCATAGCTAGACTATTCAGTGCTTGCATTTTGATCTTCAAAGATAGTTCAAGATACTTCGGAGCTGGGATTGGTCTTGTTCCAGTTCAGCTCCTGTTTGCTTTTTTTCCGGAGACTTCCCTTCTGGGCTGTGTACCATGAGGTCATCGCTAATTAGACTTAGATAGTACTATTGGCATGCTACTACCGCGTAGTGTATTTCCGTAGCCAGTAACATACATTCACACAGCTGCGGAGCTTCTATTTGTAGCAGGAAATATAGTACTACTTCGGCCATCTTCATCATCTATATAAAGGCACCACTGTCCTCCCAGGTCTACAGCTCATATTATTATTCATATCCTCATCATCCTAGAAACATCTAAACCTTTCAGTCAACCAATTACTCAAGATGAAGCTATTTTCAATTATCTCTACCGCTTTTCTTATTACTGCAGTAGCAGCCATCCCTTCGATCAACGAAGCCGAGAACCGTGATGTCCATCAAGGCATGAAGCGAGAGGCGGAAGACAACAGGAACTATATAGTATGAAACCGTCCAACGATCCTTTGCGTGTTAAATTTTTTTTCTACATAGAAGTTATCACTGTCTTCTCTGACCTTCAACTCCAATCGCATCAATGTTGTGTATCGTGTGACTGATATATGATACTACTAGTGTCCAACCGATGAATCTAACCGTTGTTGTGACATCTGCATACTTCAGTCTCAGACTGGTTGGAATATACCAACTTGCTGCACCAACTGTGGATGTACAAAGAACTTTTAGTGGTTGTGAGTGTTATGGTCTGTGAGTTTCATGCCTCGACATAGGTTTTCCCTTATCCGATGAGATAGGCTTCTCTATGTTGTAATGTGAATACAAGGGCTTTAATTGACCTGGATGCCCTGTATAATTGAGTGGTGTATGCTACATTGAACTACTGTTGGACGAGGACAGGTTAGCTTATAGATAAGCAATGAGTAGGAAGGAATATCGAACACCATTGGATCTTGACTAGATTAGGCCTCAAATCTTAATCTATGATAAAATACACTACAAAACAGAATAATATTACAGAGTAAATGGTTCCCCGAGCTAAGCCATTCCTGGGGGCTGTGAATGCTCTTCTTTTCTTTTTTTTTCCCCTTAAATCCCAAGTCAGCTTGTGCTATACTATTACTCCCTGAGCCCTATCTCAGCCGCAGCTATCTAGTAGTCTACGTATTTTAGTTTATTATATGACCGCACTACATTTGCCACCGAAATAGATAGGAGCATTTTCCATGGACAATACATTATTGAACTAGCTACTACATAGTATGTTCATGGAGGAATTATATAGAAGCCTTTTTCCACCACTGGGATTGTGAATTGGTACCGACACTAGGCTTTATCTATCTACATGTGAATCTCGTAGTAGATATATGACAGATCTATGCAATGCTAGTGCATGCTAAAGCACTTTCCAATCATCTTCACTATCTTCTTCATCACCCCTTTTTTAAGGGTGTTTGTGTATAGATTATTTGTTTTTTTTTCTCTACTGGAGTCGTTGTGATTGTGTACATAAAGGTTTTATCATGTAAAAAGAATCAAAACAAAATTGTTGTGTTGTCAGCTAGTTCCACTAGTCCAGATAATCAAATAGATATCGGCTCCAACCCCCCCGTCCAAATCGTATCCTTCCTCTGATCCGCATGCGTCGCCTTGAAATCCTCATACTTCCGATCATGCCAATTCGTCGCCGTCACCAACCCCCCATTACTATCCACAAACGTGGCACTGTTCGATGGCCGCAAGAAATACGCAATGGTATACCAATCAACCGTCTGTCCCTTCGCCGGGACCACACGGTGGAGACAAGATCGTAGCTTCTTCTGCGAAAGAAACCGCAGAGAATCACCAACGTTGATCACGGCGCATCCGCGACGGGGTTCGACGAACTTCCATTGTTCCTCTTTTTGACCCAGGTCTGCGGCGGATAGAACCTGTAGACCCCATTGGTCGGTGAAGAGGACGGTGATACTGCCGATATCGATGTGCTTGTTGTGTCCATTATCCCGTTGACTTAGTCCATTTCCCTTCTACCAGTCTTGATATACTACATTCAGAAGCATGACACGAGGACCTACCAACAGACCAGTCCGAATCGCCGGCTGTGCCGGAGGAAACACCGATCGCTGGGATGCAATCAAATCTTTTGCCAGCGACCCCAGCATCGATGCTATTATTGGAGACTGGCTCTCCGAGTCCAACATGGTTGGAACGGCAGCAATCAAGGCGCGAGATCTCACGGAAGAGAACGAGCAGAATCGCTCAAAGGGTGCCTATGCTAAAGAGTTCCTGCAATGCTTCGAGCCTGCCATTGCAGACCTAAGCGCTCATGGGATGAAGCTCGTGGTCAATGCGGGTGCGTCAGATACAGAGCTCCTTGCAATTGAGTGTCAGAAGTTAGTCCAGCAGAGTGGGCATGGTCATTTGCGCATTGCGTGGATTGAAGGCGACGATGTGACGGACGTTTTGCTTGAGCAGAGGAAAAAGGGTGATGAAGGCTACCCTATTCGACTCTCGGGTAAATCGTTGGTGGAGGTCGATCCCAATTTTGTATTTGCGCAGTGTTACCTTGGTGGATGGGGCATTGCAAAGGCTTTGGCTGAAGGTGCGGATATTGTCATTTGTGGGAGAGTCTCGGATGCTTCTCCTGTGGTTGGTGTTGCAGCGTAAGTTGTCCACAGCTGGGCTTGTTTTCCAGACTGAACGGAATACTTTGGTACTGACACAACTGCAGATGGTGGCATGGATGGCCTGAGAACAATTATGACGAACTTGCACGCGCATTGATTGCTGGTCATCTTATTGAATGCTCTGGGTATGCCACTGGTATGTCCAGCATCACTTTCTGCCTCCATGCAGGATCCAACTAACACCTCGAAGGCGGTAACTTCACCGGATTCAAGTCGCTCTTAAAAGCAGGAAAGCATCTCAAGCTCGGATTTCCCATCGCAGAGATCGAAGCCAACGGCGAGTTCACAATCGCCAAAGAGAAAAACACCGGAGGATGCGTGACAGTCGAATCCTTGACATCGCAACTCATATATGAAATCCAAGGCCAATGGTATCTCAACTCCGATGTCGTTGCTGACCTGACAGGAGTGAACCTGGAACAAATTGCCCCAGAACAAGTCCGGGTAACAGGCATTGTGGGCATGCCACCTCCCCCGACGACAAAACTAGGGTTCACCACTTTCGGAGGATATCAAGCCGAATTCCATGCTTTCATGACGGGACTCGATGTTGACGAGAAGTGCAAGTGGACCGAAGAACAGATCCGAGAGGCCATTGGTGAGGATATCCATCGGTTCACTCAACTGAGATTCCATCGTATTGGGTCCCCGTCCCTTGATACTACCTGTCAGGATCATGCGACTGTGATGTTTCGGGTCTTCGCGCAGACCAAGGACCCAGAGATTTTGCGGACGGATGTACCTAGAGATTTATTCAGATGGTGCATGTCGACGTTTCTTTCTAGTTGTCCGGTTGGTCACCCTACTTTATCACTGGTCTTCCTGTGGCTAAGATCTTATAGGCCCTAACCCCCAGCAACGACCCCCGACAAGTCCATGCAAAACCATACTACAACTACAACACCGGACTCATTCCTCAATCTGTCCTAAATCAAAGAGTGCACCTCCTCGCAACTGATCCGAAGAAAATCATTACAATCGACCCACCCAGCGTGACGCAAACATACGGAACCCAGCCTTCCCACGAAACAGAAAACCCCGTTGATATCTCTGCCTTCGGGGAAACGGTCAAAGCCCCCCTGGGTTCCGTCGTCTATGGTAGAGCTGGCGACAAAGGAGCCAACTGCAATGTGGGCTTTTATGTGAAACACCAAGATGAATGGGACTGGCTTAGGACGTTCCTTACGACGGACAAGATCAAGGGGCTGCTGGGACCCATTGAGTATTCGGGGAACCAAATTGACCGATTCGAGATCCCTGGTGTCAGGGTGGTACATTTCTTGCTCCATGATCATCTTGATCGGGGGTATAATTCGTCTTCGAGTTGTGATGTTCTGGGGAAGAATACGTGCGAGTTTCTGCGGTCGAAGACGGTTGATGTTCCCAAGGTGTTTTTGCAGCGTTATTAGTTTGCTTTCAGCTGATTTAGTATGCTGCGGTTGCTTATGCGTTTATGCCATGTCAATGCATGTTATTCGGACTTTTGAGGAAATTCTTGGAAGAGTTTATTGGTAACTGAACAATTCATGTTCACTCTCTGAATACAGGCCAGTTGTCTTCCTGGAAGATAATGGCTATTACTACTATAATATGTCTGAAGTGAATTTGAATAATGTGTTATTATAGTGACAGAGATGAAAGGTACTAGTAGTAACTAGATCCTTTGCTTTTCCTCTCAGTAATAGTCTTGAAATAGAACAATTGAAGCCGTTTATAGACAGCTCGGTCGATATAAATATATCCTTGGTTCTACTGGCAACTGTCGACACATCGCTTGAAGAAGTAGTATATCTACTGATGAAGCTAGCAGCTTCCTTCATAGCATAGAATTTAATTACTGTCCGATATGTAGAACAGAATCATCAAGTCAATTCATGTACACGGCGCTTCATAAAGCTCTTTATACCCGCGTAGTATATGCCACGGAAGGCTGGAGACAGCGGGATGGGAGCCTTTCGAGGCTTTCCGGGATTAAAAAGATCTACATTTGCCGACTACTTCTGAAACAACATGAATTACCGTGCTGTCAAGTATATACGATTGACAGTGTAGCGATTGTTTGGCATTTCCAATCATGGTGGTATAATGTTGATTTGTTTCGTGCCCCAACCCATAGCTTGACATTGCTGCAGGGTAGGCAACTGCAACGTGGGTAACTACTGGGTAACCATGGGTTTGATACTAGTAAGCCAATTGAAGAACCTGTTGGGTCTGTTTCGATTGCTAAAATTCAATCCGTTCCGCACACAAAACTGTCGGCAGAGACCAAATGTCAAGTCATAATATGTTATGTATCCCCATATTGAACCGTAAATGTTACAAAAGGGCCGTTGAATTTGACACCTGCTGGTAGCCTGCACCCAAACGCCGTGCTCAATGGTGAACGAAGAAACTCGTGTGGTGATACGTGGAATGGAAATATTATGTACCAGGTGATCACAGATCGAAGCCTGGATTTATGAGATCATGGGGTCGATATCCCCATTATTGGTCATTACGGTGTCGTTAGAGCCATTGTGGCTGGCACTGGTCGAATTGGCCAAGGGATTACTGTTGTGGGTGTTGGGGTTATCGCCCAGTCCGAGGTCCAGCTTCTCGGGTATATCCTTCTTAGCCTCCCGGGCTTTCTGTTCGGCCCACGCGCGCAATTTGACCAGGTTGCGTAGCCGGGCCTCTTTACGAGCGCCTTGATTCAGCAGGATGGCTTCGTTGACGCGGTTGGCTATGTCCTTACGAAGGTCGGGGTGTAGTAAAGGGGCAAGTGACGGAGACAGGCTATCCATCGGGAAGATCAAGAGCGCAAGAGTCCTCTCAAGATCCTCGAGGAACTGGGGGTTGGTGGGTGCCCGCGGTGCGAGTTGCGAGGTCGCGAACTCGAGGGCAGGGCTGATGTCGCCATCGGGGGAAGAGGTGCATGAGCGAATCAACTCCACCAGCTGCAGTCGCAGCAAGGCGAAATGTAAAGGGGCATTTTCATCTAGGATCTAAGCCGGTCAAGTCAGCAAAAAGCTTTGAAATGAATGTGATGACAAGTAACGGCATGTTTGTCTTGCTGCTCATACTGAGGACTGAAGATGTTTGTTTATCAACAAACCCCAAAAGGGATGTTCTGAGTGGTGCATGAAACGTCGTATAATCCTTGCAACGTGGGTGGGTAGGAAGGGGATGAGATAGAATGAGTGTCTTACCTGTGGGTTGAGCTCATTGATCTTCTCAATGGCAACTTGGATATTCCCAGAATGAATTGCAGTACGAATGTCAACTCTTTCCTGAATCGACTCGATATCTGCTCTGGGTTGGATGTTG